GCTAGAGGGTGGGAGGTTTCTCTCTCTAAGAGGGAATGGCTAATTTTACTTTTCTAAACCCTAACAAATGGGGGTTAGAGGTTGAACTTGAGTGAAACAATGGTTGAAAATTAAAGTTAGGCCTCATAGGTGAGAAGAAAATCGGAAATTAGATTCAGGCTAGAGGGGAAATTGACCATTTTGAGGGTCAAAACCTGGAAGTTTCATCAATCTACATTGGGACGAGCCTCTCCCATGTCACCATCCATTTTCCAATGATGCGTTTTTGGGCCTTTTTTTGCTCGAATTTTCTCCTGAATTTTGTGGAGAATGTTGCCATGATCATTTTGAGACAAATTTGGATAAAAAAACTCCAAGGATTGAGGGCAATTTTAACGGATTTGGCAACAAGTTCTTTAAGAACGCCATGCTTTGCTTGAAATCTAGGAAATTTGCCCACTATTGTCCATTGTTCAATAGACAACGAGTATGATCAAACTATTGAGCCCTTCTTCAATTTTCAGCAGCAATGGTTTATTGAGTAGCTTCTCTCTACAATCCAAACCCCGAATCGGCTTGGACACCTTTTGACATTTTATATTGATGTCGAAGGGATTGAATGAGGAATGCCCTTGCAAAATTTGAGACCAAAACTCCCTACAGATTGTAAGATATTGAGTCGAGCACGGATCAGGGTCATGGGGACTATTACACATAGGTTCACCATTCATCTTTTATTTTTCCCCTTGATTCGACTATGATCTGTGTCGAGAATATGCATGCGAATGGAAAGCTAGCTAAGAGGGGAGCAAAATATCTAAATTTGAAGCCATTTAGCTATAGGAATCATGAGTTATGACCTTTCTTTGCATAATAAAACTTGGTAGTTGCTGGAAATTGGTCTTCCATTCCTAGACCATGCCCACAATGCATTTCTCGTAAAAGTTTGGTGGTCCATTGGTGATTTTTTCGATTGTTGCATCAAAAGTGGTACTTTCCAAGATCGGATCGACCCCAAATTTGAAACAAGCATTATACTTTCTTGGTGGGCCATCATTTTGGCTTATTCTTTCATTTCTTTTATTTAAGGAGACAAAAAGACCCCTTTTAGAGGTAGAAATCCGGGGTTTCACTTCCACGAGACCCTAGTCCGGTATTGTGCTTCACAACCACAGCAACTAGCCCTCGATGACCTTATTTTGTTTCCGGGGCATGTGCGCGAATGTCACACGATCGTGGCACCACAAAGAGCGGGACATTTCACTCTAGTTTGGAGTTCTCGATAGCTGGCGATTTGCTTTACTTTCAAGTGTGTCAGGCTCCCTACCAGTTTGTTGTAGTCCACAATTTGTGGGCGTGTTGGATACTTCATTGAAGTTTGCTTCCCACTCATGGTCAATAGTACCAAGTTTGTTGTCTTGCTCCCAGAACCTTGGAATCTTGGAGTTGCGTTGAGTGTCTTTGGGGCTTGCTCTTCAAGGAAAGTTGAGGTTTATCAACCTACTATGCATAGCGACCAAGTTCTTCACATGCAGGAGACAAAAAGATTGCGCATATCAGGCCGCTTATCTGGCCATGTTCCTCTGTAAAATCGCTCTCCCTTCCCCTCGGGGCGACTTCGTCAGCCCCACCGGAATGCCTTTTCATGGCCTGTGAGATGGCACAGAAGAAAAGGTTTGTGTTGGCCTTCGAATTCGTCTGCCCACCAGAGTGCCTTTTCATGGCCTGTGAGGAGGCACAGGACAAAAGATTTGTGTTGGCCCCGTCAGTATTGTGCAGCCTTTATCATGGACTGGGGGCCATTCCGTGCTTGAGGCGACATCCCGATGAAGATAATGAAGCATGGATGACCTGGGAAACATATGTGATGCTAAATGGGAATTTCAAGTTTAATTGAGGGCAATAACAGGCCAAGGGCGAGTGCCGCAAAATGACGATACCAAAGCAATGGACCTCCCAATCCACCCCCTTGCGAGGAAGTTGATCCGAAATGAGATGCGAACTATCAAACAGATCCGAATCTTCTAAGAGATTATACACTGCAAAAAGCACGGAGATAGGAGTTGGACCAACAGAAGGAAGCAATAGAGAAGTGCCCAAAGCTAAGACGAAAAATGCCTCAACAAAGCTCACCCGCGATGAAGCACACAGTGTGGGTACCAATGTAAAAAGAAAATGCAGCCACGCTAAAGCCCTAGTGTGGGTGCACAGCCCTGCTCCACATCTCACACCCACACTGAACCATCAACGAGGGTGCCCCAGTGCAACGTCCCCCTCACCCACGCTGATTTTGAGCGTGTCTCCCTCCCAGAAACAGTCTGCCCACACTTATGGCATGGGTTTCCCAATAGAATACTCTGTACCCATGCCAACCATACAGCGTGGGTGCCACCTTTGAATATATCCACCCACGCTGGACCACACAGAGCAGGTGCTCTCACTACAACATCTGCACCCGCACGAACCAGCACACCATGGGTGTCCCACTCTACAAACCCCCACCACACAGCATGGGTGCTCTCCATGAAACTTCTCTCACCCACGCTGCACTATACGGCATGGGTGCCCCGTCGGTTTCAAACCAAATTCACAATATGGATACAGCATGTGACAGTCCCATGGATACATCCATGCCATAGAGCATCCCATGGATGTCACTGGACTGAAACTCACCCACAATCACAGCGTGGGTGCCTGACAAAAGCAGGCCGGGTCAAAATGGCCCCACAAGAGGGAAACACAATGAAAATTTTCAACAACAACTCTCCTGTATCGAGGCATTCTGCAAAAATGACAAGAACCCTGACTTAGTGCCAAAAGCCCCAGAGAAATCCATGACCGGATTCTAAAGGGAACAATGTCCGACAAATCACAGGCTAGGACTGAGCCCCTCACACCAAAAGCATGCTACAGAACTAAAAAGCAATGGCAAAAATAAGAGCAAAAGAAAGGGAACTAAAAGCTTATCTAGAGTAGAGCATTGCATGCTGAAGAAATACGCCCAAATACTCCTCTCTAAGGCTTCAACTGTCTTCACTAAAAGCTCCAAGTAAAAAAGGGCTCTCTAAAGCTTCAAGGGAAGAAGGTGTGAGGTGAAATGGGGCAAATGGAAGCCCATGAGAGAAGACCCCAATTACCATTACAAATCCTTAAAGACTCCCTTACAAATCCTTAAAGACACTATGTCCCCAATGTGAAGTGGGGTCCCAAGGAGGAGCAAAATGGGGATACCATATTTCTTTACCATAAGAGAAGTGACCAAGGAAGCCCTTATAAAAGCCTATTGACGAAAAGCCCTCAACACAAAGGAAAATTTTAGCGAAGGCAAAACTGGAATGGCCTGAAAATGAATAATACCATGGTTAATTTTTGTGATCAGATAGGCGTGAGGTCAGAACCATTGAAGAGATCTCGCCGAGCCAGATTTTTCAAGACCCAGCCCAACCCAAGTCACAGAAGTATGGATATGGAGCTGGAGCCACACACCTATGCCTACAGCATGGGTGCGTGCACCCCACCACAACCCACATACGTACAGCATCAGCATGGATTCATGCCTACAACATGGTGTGCACCCACAGTGTGGGTGCCACCATGCACAGCTCTGAAGTCATTCAAAGAGGGATCCCGGACCAATTTTCAGCCGCGAGGTGTCCCGAAAAAGCTTGGCCTGATCCTAAAAGCAAATTAAGCCTCCAACTCTTATGCCAAGATCAACCATATTATGAAACTCAATTTCGGTTATAGGGAGCAAGTCAAAGACACTCGACACCCGCCTCAAAGCAAGGATCTATTCGTAAGTAGCGGGACACTTGGAATCTGTTACGATGATCGGGAGCAAGTCTAGGGCACTCAATTCCACCTCAAAGTAAGGGTCCACAAGTAAGTCGTGGGACACATGGAATCCCTTCCTATGAGCGGGATTCGGAAGCAAGTCAAAAACCCTCGATGCCACCTCAAAGCGAGGATCCGGGAGCAAGTCGTGGAACAATCTGGATCCGCCAATTTTGAATAGGGCACAGCTTCAGTGTATAGGGAGTGGGTTCAGTGTATCGGGCTTCTTATCATCTCAAAGGAATCTGCCAAATTTGAGCTTGATATTAGGCTATTTTTCTCAACTCAGCTTCGAAAATTCCTATGGAATCCCGGCAATTATTGTGCCCGAGTGTTTATTCGGCTGATCTTCCAGTGGGGTGCACTTGGTAGGCCACTGTTTTGACTTATTTCTTCATGTCTTTTATTTAGGGCGGCAGAAAGTCCCCTTAAGAGGTAGAAATCCGGGGTTTCACTTCCTCGGGACCATAGTCTGGTATTGTGCTCCATAGCTTCAGCAAAGGCCCCTAATTTTGCTTCAAAACACCCCCACCCAACCAGCACAACAGATGGTCAATCATACTTCTACCTTGTGCTCATGTGTGCTCAAATTCAACTAAACAAATTTGCCGAAGATGTTTTGTGTGAACTGAACACAACTATAGTAAAAGAACATGACACATGAAACCATAGAAATTGTATTAACTTTTTATGTAACTTTTTATGAGCCACTGGGTGAGAGGACAGTTAGATTCTATAAATCCAAGCTTTGAGAACCATTTTTATGGCTTAGACATGGTCCACAGTCCAGAAAATCAGGCTGGCTGGCATGTAGAACCTATATTTGTGGCAAGGACAGGCCAAACATGTTATTTCAAGATAGGTGACTTCGACAAGATGGCAGCAGAAAGAATGGGAACCTTTCTTTTACAGTTTACGATGAAGAAATGAAATAAGCATAAAAGAGTCTCAGCATATCACCATGTTAGACTGCAACCAGTGATTAGTGTTGGACATTTAAGAACCAACACAATTAGGAACAAATTTACTTGATAATTCAAAAGAAATAGTGATAATTCCAACTATCTATGCATTATTGGCAAATGAACAAAAAAACAACAAGCCAATTATCATGCACCTCATTGCATGGAAAAACACTACTGTAAACATGATTTTAAAATGTGAAATGAATTTGAATGAACGACGACCTCAATGCCAACACAAAAGGGCAGTTCAGCATGCTCTTCATGATGTTCAGCTGAATTATTTTTGTTGTCCAAGTAGACAGAGTAACCCAGACAAGAATACTTGAAGTCTGATAGGCTACGACCATCCTTCGAAGCCTCCATCTCCGACTCCCCAATGACATAACCTGGCACTGCTCATGACATTTGCAAGAGGTTACACCACAGGGTTATCATAATGAACATGCTTCACCTTAACATAAAGAGATATATGAGAAAAGAAAAAGAAATGCCAACAAGTACTTTGCCGCATTTTAAAAGAACTATAGAAAAGGCAAATATGCATACATCTACACATTTTGAAAACACCACATAAAATAGTCATAAAAGAACATTTCAAACCCAATGGAATCTGAACCTAATAGTATCCTTCAAGTGCAAAAAATAGGTTAATTCATCTACTGTTCCCTACAACACATAATAAAGAACATTTCAAACCCAATGGAATCTGAACCTAATAGTATCCTTCAAGTGCAAAAAACAGGTTAATTCATCTAGTGTTCCCTACAACACATAATATTTGTTTGACAATGGATATACATAATGCCGCTAACGTAGATACAATGCAGCTTACAGGTATGCAAGTGTGTGCATTCAAGGTAAGATTGTCCTCATCTTCTAAGGGCATTTCATCCAACACGCTGCTTAGGAAACAGGGAGCCATGAGGATCATATTTTGTTTGGAACATCAAAGATCATCAAAGAACATCAAAGACATCAACAATTTCTACTAAGAATATTTATACTACCCTCCTAAGAATCAATAAAGTGAGACCCTTCGCAACAATTTCTCTCACTTGCAGCCATTGTTTCCCCTAGAGATCTGGGCCCACAAACTTTACATGGTACCAGAGCAACAACCAACACTCAGTGATCCACAACTGCACCATCTTTTTCAACAGTTTGAAGTTTGGAAGGATCCCTAAGGCTTTGCACCCTTTTTTTGCAGAAAATACTTCCACTTTTTGCCGAAATAACTTAGACTGGTCATAAGTGTTTAGAGATTATACAAGGCTGCAATATCATCTTTGGATAAGCTTCATATATCATATTCTCCTCTAGTAAGTTGTTTTTATCTATTAGATGGCAGATCAAAGACACCCACATTCAGGGGATTAGAAATATACCCTCATGGGATTCAATGGTCATGCATATTGCTGCTGTCAAGCTAAATGGCAGCAACAACTTTGCATAGGCCATCTCCATCAAAATGACAACAAGATTGGACACACAAATGGAACATCCAAGAACCCCAATCCTTTTGACCTAAGTATGAAGAGTGGATGGCATCTGATTCACATATTATGGCATGGATCCTCAATTCCATAAATGAAAACATTAGAAGTGGATTTTTTCCTTGATTCTGCCAAAGAAATCTACTGATAGTAAAAGAGTAATTTTCCAAAAAAGACAATATTGTCCAACTGTATCAGTTCTACAGAGATAGGGCTTTATAAAGGAGAGAAATCTCGGTCAGAATATTAAAGAGACTCAAAATCATGTGGGAGGAACTCAAACTTTCTGAGGCATTGCCACATAAGTGCCCAATTGCCATCTTCGAATGACAAAGGCAAGTTGAGGACGCCTATTTCGAACTCATTGGTGCCTTAATGGTGATTCTGAGATGGTTCGTACACATGTACTGTCCACCAAGGTTTCAAATACGCTAGCCGGCCCCTAGGTAGCCGGCTTGGCTCCCAGCTCCCAAGAGGGCGCCCAAAGCCTTGGGCACCCTGTAGTACAAATTCTATAAATATATAATATATATTCATATATTTGTGTTAATTTTGTACTTTATTGCATTTGAAAATATTGTAACATACTTTTTTATATACAAACATATAACATATCACATATTGAGAATAAAAATGTTCAAAATTTCAAAATTCAAACCATACAAAATTTAAAAGTCCAATAGGATATGTATTAGTAATAGTCTCCAACTCTCCATATTCCATAATACGTGAAAAAATTTAAGAAGCTTCTTCAAACCACAAAAAATACTTTTGATTCTCAAAAATAGGTATCGCTAAGAGATTGAAGGGTTTATGGAATTGTTCTTTTAATTTTAAGTGTTGAAAATAACCCCCATAACTTTTAGGGGTCAAAATTACCCCTTTTTACCTTTTGGGTATCTTTTGCAAATAAATAAAAACTCTTGTACCTAGCCTCCCGCCTAGGAACCCGCCTAGGCGCCCGCCCAGGTACATCTACCCAAAATGGGCAGGCCTAGGCGTGCGATGCATAGAGTCTTGGGTGCCTAGGCGCCGAGCAGACCGTTTTTTGAAACATTGTTGTGCACTAAGAAATTACCAGATATCAATTTTGTCTACAGTCTTCTTCAAAGAGAAGAAAAGTGCAAAGAAGTAATGAGGGTTGTTCCAAAGGTCCTTGATCTAGCCTCTGTGGCTAATTTTCAAGTAGAAAGGCAGTGAACATAGTCGGGGTGTAACTACTAAACCTAAATGTGAGCATCGCAATTGATTGGGGAAACGAAGGATAGGTGTTGGCCAGCAACACCACCAACCAGTTAAGTTAAGCCAAACCTGCAACCGACCAAGTGACAGCTTCCTCAGGCAACTACTCAAATGGTAAGATCAATCACCTCAATGTGCTCCTTCAGAGAAAGGAACCCACTAAACCCCGTAACGACGCAGCCATCTCAAGAGATAGGTAATGATTAGTCCCTCCTTGCTCCATCTTTAAATTGGGTCATTGACTATGGAGTAACATAATATATGACTAGTAAGCTCCCTTTACTTAGCTTCACTTGAGAATACCCGGCTGGTTCCAAGACAGTTACCCTTGCCGACAGCTCTCTTACATCCATTTTTCTGAAAGTGTTAACTGTTGTATTGAGTGAAGACGATTACAAGAGATTGGCAACCCACATGTTGGGTGCTCCATTACAAAAACCCCCGACGGGACTCAACATATGCTACACATCCCGTATATAGTCACCAAAATATTCTGTTAACCACATTATTTTGTTATGTACTTTCTCGCAGGTTCTCTTGCAGTTTATTATGTGGCAATGTGGCAAAAGTTTCCCTATAGGCCCATCAATACCTTTAATATTTGAGAGATGGGTCAACTTCCGCTTTCGATCAGCAGGATTACATAATGTTTGGATCTCTCTATTCTCCACAACCATCTGGCTCCTCTGAACTAAGAGGAATTTGTGTATCTTTGAAGAAAAGAGACCCAAAAGAGAACAATTGTTGCACCGCATCATTTCTATTGTTGCAAGCTTAGCAAAGGTGAAAGGATGGACTTTCTACCCGTCAGAGAAGCCTACATAGTTGATGACCTCAAAATCCAGCGGTACCCAATGCATCCTAAAACTTTGATTTTGGTCTCATGGTCTCCACCCCCAGCAGGTCCCTATAAACTAAACATTGATGGCTCGTCCCTTGGCAACTCTGGAGCAACTGGTTGTCGAGGAATTATCAGAAATGATATGGGAGGGTTTGCGCCGCTTTTGTTGTTCCTCTAGGGCACACATCCAACAATGTTGCTGAATTTTCAGCCAATGAAAGGGGCATTCAGCTAGCTACTGAGTTGCATTGCTTTCCACTGCTCATTGAGAGTGATTGGCAGATTCTAGTGCATTCCCTTCACGGCCGCCATAAGCCCCCCTGGAATCTCCGAATTATGACAGCAAACTACCTTTACCATCTTGGATCGCCGCCCCTGGAGTATTAAGCATGTCTATCGAGAGGCCAACTCGATGGCCGATCACTTGGCCAAGAGTGCTAGAAGTCTCTCATCCTACGGTTTGGTGTGCCTGGCCACCTGATTTTATTTCTCCTCTAATTTCTTCTGAAATGGCCAAGACCATAGTTGTCGGGTGCGGGTGCGGGTGCGGGTGCGGGTGCGTTCCCGGGAGAGAGAGCGGGCTTGGGTTCGTGGAACCGTGGATTGTTGGAAGCTCCTTGTGGTTGGGATCATTGTCCGTACGATCCTATATCAAGGGAGCTGGATCCTTGTCACAGGGAAGCGCGATTCCATGGGGAAGGAATAGCCATAGTATGTTTTAAGGTATAAAGAATGATGCGTAGGTCCACAATACCATTGCACAAAACTAAATCATTGCATATGAATCAGTGCCAAATAGAGGAAAAATCATATGCATTGTGTCATAGACTTGAGAACTGCAATTCGAACCTGCTTGGAACGCGAATCACAATATAGGGAACCGCGTTCCATCCGAGATTCCTAGCTGGAACCTCGGAATCAACGTTCCGGAGCGGGTCCGTGGCCTTTCCTACAAGGTTCCAGCAACTATGGCCAAGACTTCTCATGAAAGAACTGTATCATAAACTCTTTATCCTTTTGTACCATTCTTACTTATTAATGAAAAACGGGTAGGGGCCCAAATCCCCACTGACTTACCCAAAACATATAGTTACGAAAATAAATATACAAAAGATGGGGCCAAAGTGCTCAAAAAGATGCTCGAAAAGTCCCCTGCTTGTTGTCCTGGGTGGCTCCCCCTTTAACGAGGACATCAGCTTCCCTCCAAGTATGACTCCAACCAACATGAGTATGGCTGCAAATGTGGGAAATCTTGTCAAAAATGTGATCTAGCCTCCAAGGGCAAGAGGACACTCCTAAGGCCCAAGAGATTATGCTCTTAGAACCCCCTTGTTGATCAACATGGAGCCCCCAAGTGGGATTAAAGTTCCTAAGGTCTTCAACAAGGGCAATAGCCTCCGTGGTATTAGAATCAGTGTGTCCGATGAAGCAAGAGAAGGGGAAGTGTGTACAGTCGTCCTTGTCTCTGAAAATGCACCCTATGCCCGAGGGGCCGGGGTTACCCAGGGAACATCCATCGAAATTGAGCTTAGCTTGGCCGATCTCTAGTAGTCTCCAGAGTGAAGCTCGAGGGATGCGAGCAGGCCTGCGGTTCAACAAAGCCTGCCAATTTTGATGAAAGTCTGAGAAGGAACAGTCCTTGAACAATTTGTTATTTTTTGCCCGAAAGATAACTGAGGGTTTGACCCTATCATTTAAGGCTTCGATGGCAACCTTCTCATCGTGAAAGGTCCTATTGTTTCTCTCTGTCCAAATCACCCAATGTATGCCAGCCACAGAAGCCCGCCACAAGAGGATACCTGCTTTCGGCCATGGTGGGAGAGAGAGGAGTGACATAGGTGTGGGATCAATGTCAGAGTCACCACAACCAATTGAAAAGGCGAATGAGGTCTCCCCAAAGGGTTCTAACAAGGTCCCAATGGATAAATAAGTGGGTGGTGGTTTCCTCCTTGAGGGTGCACATGATGCATCTATTTGGTATCTGCAATCCCCTTCTCTTGGATATTGCGATACAGTTGAACACTTGAATTCTAAGGGGTACAAGAGGGAACCAAGCTCTAACAGCAATGGAAGGAGGTGAGTCAGGTAAGGTTGGGGGCATATAAAATTTATGGCAAAAAGAGGAAACCAAAAAGATGCCACGATGTGCTAGAGACCAAATGATTGTATCGGACCAAGGGTTGGTAAGAAGGTCATCTAGAGAATGGAAGATAGGATCATGCAATCATGCAACTCATGGTCCGCCAAGGGCCTTAGAAAGTTGGGGTTCCACACCCTAACAGTACCCAACAATTCGTAGTTCCCGACCATTGTGGCCTGGGTTGTTCTCACTAATAGCAATAAAATGGGGAAATGGTCTCGTAGAGGGGAAAGACCAATAAACAAATCTGACCAGAAATCATTTTGCGGCTCTCTTGCATATGTTAAAGAGCCCTTCATGTTCCTTCTTTCCCAGTTAACTTACTATGTGTTAGTAACTTATGATAGATATGAGTTATAACTGTAACTTTTTCTCCATCTCACCATGTCTTTCAAAGTTTGAAGACTGAGAAAAAGATTAAGGAAGGATACGAGGATAGCTGTCTCTACATCTTCGGCAAGGCTAATTATCAAATAATTACAATGGGGATCTTTGACATTCCCATTTGGGGCATCGCTCAACTCGTGTCCTTGGAGTATCTTGCCTTCTGCCTCTGTTTCAAACCATGTTATTTCCTTGTGTGAAGCATGCCAACTTTCAAAATATTGTCATTTGCCATCAATTATAATAAAATGCTTGTTCAGATTTTTTCTCTCTCATTTACTCTCATGTGTGGGGTCCTATCAATGGTGCACAATTTTCTGTTTCCTTCATTGATGATTGTTCTCGTAATACTTGGGTCTAAAGCAAGAAAACCAAAACATAAGTGTGTGAAATTTTTAAGTTTTTCATAAAGTGGTCATCACTCAATTAAATGCCAAAGTTGAAATCTATAGAATCGATAATAGGACAATGTAAAAAAGAAACATGATCCAATATTTGCAAGGGATAATTCATCAGACCTCATGCCTACAACCACACAAGGAAATAGTGTTGTAGAGAGAAACACTAGAGATACCCTTGAAATTATGAGAACTTTGATGATTTACAAGCATTTACCAATTCTTGGCCACAGTAGTATAATTGAAAAATTAACTAGGAAAGCCCCCAAGTTGTCTCATATGCATGATTTTCGATGTAATCTAGTTATAATATACAGCATAAAAGAAGAAGAAGAAGAAGAACAAGGGAGAAGAGGATCTAAAGAGAACAAGAGAGAGGAGAGGAAGTGAGAAAGAGAGATGTCTAGAGAGAAGCAAAAGGAAGAGAAGATAAGGAGTCACATTGAGTTCTAAAACTGACCTGCACTCCTCTCTTCTAATATATATCATCATCATCATCATCCAAGCCTTTATACCAATTATTTGGGTCGGCTCTCTTCTACACACACACGCGCACGCACACACACACACATGTATATTAACTTTTACTTGTACGCAATGTTGCCCTTTTAGTGAGGAAATGACACATAAGCCCTTAGGGACTTGAATACAATAGAAAAGAGTATAAACTTCAACATTCACAACACTCTCCCTCAAGCTAGTGCATAGATATTCCTCATGCCCAGCTTGCTTAAATCACTTGTACTCGAGGGTTCCCAACGACCTTGGTAAGAAAGTCTACTGGTTGGTCTTCACTTTTCAGAGATAGAATGAAATTTCTTTGGTAGCAACTTTTCCTCAAACAAAATTCCTCTAGTTGACATTTCAATGCTAAAAACAAGTTGAGTTGAGCAATGATCTCAGACAAACCGAGCAACTTTTTCAATTTGTCGTGTGAAGAGTTATAAACATATAAAGTGTTTCGCAAGGTAATCAAACCCAGTTAATCACACAAGGCATACCATGGCATTACCACATTGAGATACATTGTTTACATCGAACTAAGCATAAAAAATCATATCTAATGAAAAAATCATATACATCTCTTTTTCTCATTTGTAAGCACTCACATACTTGGCAAATCGAGGTTACTCAGGTGAGAAATCAAGGTGACTCAGGCGAGTTTTTATTCACTAATTTATATAAAAACAACCCCAATTGAAGCATTTCCAGCGAGATTCTGTCTCATGGAAAATAGCTTATGTGAACAAAAACAAAAGTAGAAAATAAATAAACAGCCAAGTGCTATAGAGCTTACAATGGCCTTTAAACCCAAAGCTGCACGATATTCTAAATGGAAAGAAAGGAAGCGGATCACATGCCTCAGAAGTCCATGCACGATGACATAAAAAAAAGGGATTTAGGAGAACAACCAGAGATCCTAGGCAAAGAACAAGCTGAGCTAATCCATCTATTCCCCTTACAGACATTACTATTTTGATGAAACCATTCAGAGAAACAACTGAATGCATAAAAAGATGAGAAATTCAACAGGATGTGAAATTCTACAACTCTGATGGTAAGTTGAACAAAACATATAACAATTTTATATGATGTGATTTGCAGTAGTAAATTTAAATAAGAACACATATTGGAAGAAAATGAAATAAAGAAACTCACAAATAGTAATCCATGAATTAAAATATTTTTCAAGCTCATCTCATCCCATGATTTTACTATCCAATACAACATTCAAAGTATACATAATTGACTTAAACTGGCCCGACACTAAATCAAATTCATCCTGTTCAAAATACAAATCAACCAATATGTATTCCTTAAAATTCCCAGACAGTCTACGAAATAACCTGATAAGTAATTCAGTAATATGTTGAGGGACATAAACATATTATAGCACATGAATCAAATAAGAAATACGCATTTCGAGTAAAACAAAACGGAACAGATAGAGATAGAAGACAAACAAATTAGAGAGAGATTACCTTGTTGAAGAGGTCTTGAGACCCCGACACAACGAGGGTTGTGGCGTTTGGATTTGAGATGGGAAGAGTAATAGAGGCATCCTTTGCATGACTTGCCTTTTGGTCCTCCATTAGCGCTGCCGCTGCTAGGGTTATTATTGTTACCAGTACCATTGTAGGGTACAGGATCACCTTCTTTTCCCACCCCTGCTCCGCCGACTGCTTCTTCTTCTTCATTCTCGCCCATCACCGGAGTGAACAGCAAATACCCCCAGGGTTCACTCAACTCCCGTGCGGTTTTTATTCTGTCAAAAAAATTTAAATTTTATATTAAATATCAATTACAAATTTTAAAATTTTATATAAAAATCTTAAAAATAGATATTCTACATAACTTGTTCCACGATTTACTATTTTCAGTACTTAGAAATTATTTTTTTCTTCGTTTCGTAATTGGAAGGCTATCCAACTTTAAAACTCTCTTTTCTATTGGATTATTGAGGTACACCTTAGGTTGCAAACTTGTATAAACTTTTTGTTGTGTTGAATCTTGGTTGGCATCCTTGATTTCTATGTTTTTCTATAGGATGGCATCCTTATACTATGCAAGTAAGACGCACCTCTAGATTTTGTTTGGAGATGGAGTTTTAGTTTTGGATACTTTACGATAGCTTGAAAAAAAAAAATTCATAGCTATAAAATTTTAAATTTTTAAAAGTGATATAGATAGAGCATATCTATAAACACTTGAAAATAAACTGTCAAAATAACTTGTTACAAGATGTATTATTTTTAGGATGTGAAATTTTTTATTTCCTTCATATACATCCATCTCAAGGTCAAGTTGATTAGTTGGAGGATTTTCAACATCAGATAATTATCTTCTAGATGATTTAAGATGCACCTCACTTCTATAGTATAAGGTTGGCACCTTGTATAAATTTTTTTCTATTTATAAGAGGTAAAATTAGTCAAAGGAAAAGTTTATATGAGGTGCAAACTTTATACTATTGAAGAAAGGTGTACCTCAAAAGCCATAGAAAAAGGTTGTTCCCATGCTGAAAACTGTCAAAATTGATCATCTCAACCTCTAGATGCAAGCATACAAAAACGGAAAAGATTTGAAGTCATGAAAATTGTGCACCATATAACGCATTATCTAGACTGTCCATTTCAAAAAAACTAAATGTTTATAGATATGCTTGATCTACATCTTATTTAGAGCTTTAAATTTCAATTAGAAATGGCAATAGATTTCTTGATTTTCATGCCATCACAAGGTTTCCTAACACCAAAACTGCATCTTTTGGCAAAAATTTCGAGGTGCACCTTTCTTCAATAGTTTATGCACAGTTTCTAAGTGTACTTTTCTTCAATAGTCTAAGGTTGACACTTTATGTAAACTTCACCCTTTATCAAAAAAAAACTAAGAGATCAACTATTAACATCTTTCATATATCTTTTATTAAATTTCAAAATAGTCATTAAAATATATATAGCCATGAGTTGGAATAGTTGAAAAGAGGAACCTATTAAATTTATGGTAATTTGGACAAAAGTTAGTGTAATATGGACATTGATCTAGTGCATGAGGAAAAATTTTGATACATACTTTACCCCTTATATTTAATAGTTAGGGAATGATTTTTTTAGAAAACCTCCCTCCAATCAACTTTTTTTTTTTACAACTTATACCCCAGACATTCTTTCCTAGCAAATACCTCTAAGTCAAAAAGTTATCATTTTTTGGCAAAAATACCCTTGTTCATACAAGCTTGCATCACACCCCGTGGGATGTCCTTCAACAATTTTTGCACGTGGCTCGGCATCGATTCTGCATGGTTCAGCACGTGGTGATCTCCGTTCGAAGTTTTATGCACTCGGTCCTTCTACTTGTTCTAGCAAAAGGTGAAAATGGTCCGGCCTTAGGTTTCTTGCGGTTCAGCAGGAGATGCCATTGTTCTGACATTCTTTTCACTCGCTGCAGCAGGAGGTGTACAGAGTCCGGCATAGGGTACTTGCGGTCCAGCATTTGTGCATTGTGGTTCGGCAATGGTTTTATTGGTCACAGTCTAGCAATAGAATGTGGCACCAGTCTAGTAGTTTTTTAGCACGATCCGACAGTTAACCTCCTGACATGGGTTGTGTGATAGAATGGTCTTCTTACATGGTACCAATCGGGCAATTATTTATGACCGTTTGGCAATTAACCATTGGTTATTGGCCATCCTACGGGATGTGACGCGAACTTGTATGAATAGAATATGATAAGTATCTATCTCTCTCTCTTTCTTTCCATCCCATGGGGTGTGACGCATGCTTGTAAGCGAGCTTGTACGGATAGAATATAGTATCTATTTAAAATCGATCCAATATAGTCTATCTATGTCTCTCTCTAATTAGAATATAGGATAGGATGTTTTAGATAAGGATAGAATATAGTATCTTCCTCTTTATTGATTTTATTGATATCCCTCTCTAAATGGAGAATAGAAAATTGATACGCGTGCTCTCTCTCTCACACAGCACACACCTATCTATCTATCTATCTCTAAATAGGATATAGAATAAGGTATTTTTAGATATAGCAAAACATGGTAAATATCTCTCGATTGATTCATTTTGTTGATATATTTATCTAATAGAGAATATAAAATTGAAATGTGTACTCTCTCTCTCTTAACAGGCACATATCTATCTCTCTCTCTAATTAGGATATAGAATATGGTATGTTATAGATATGGATAAAATAAGATAAGTATCTCCCTATTGATTCTCTCTCTCAAATCTCTCTTTAAATGGAAAATAGTAAATTGATATGCATGCACACCCTTTCTCTCTTAGCATGCATTAATTGCTCTATCTCTCTCTCTCACACAACATGCACTAATTTTGGGACATTGCTCTCTTCTCCCTGAAAGATGGGAATGTCTCCTACAACCTTTAATGAATTATGGTCCTTTTTTATTTTTGCGACACGTGTCCGCCCCTTAACCCTAGCTTAAAAATGTAACATATACTATAGTTATATATTCACGTGAAATTGACATGCTTTTAGATAATATGATTTAAAAAACACAACTATTATTAGTCACTAGGAGACCCAGGTAGATGTGAGTAATGATTCTTAAACTTTACTTCCAATGTTGTAGTTTTTATGGTTTATATATTTAAAACTTAATATTCAATAATCAATGTACCAATTTTAAAGTCATTGGGAGACCAATGTAGAATTTATTTCCAATGGTGTGGTTTATATGATATATATGTCTTTCAAATTAACATTCAATAATCAATGTACCAATTTTATACTTAGTTGGGAAGAAGCTCTGATGATGTTAAGGCTCGGCTTAGAATAGGGGTGGAAACGGGTCTGGGTCCAGCTGGACCCAAACCTAGACATGAATGTATTTGGGTTTAGGTTTTGGACAGGAACCTGACCCGTTGGGTCAAAAATTTGGACCCATACCTGTACCCGTCGGGTTCTAGGTCTATCCCGTCGGGTCCTGGGTCTGATTGCGTCCATTGGCACCCTCACTATGAGCTTCCTTTTTTTGTAACCTACAATAGTGAAAAACAGAGAATTGATTTTTAAGGGTGGGCAATAAGAGAGAGAGAGAGAGAGAGAGAGAGAGAGAGACATATTCAAGATCCAGCTAGAGAGCTACGTCTCCAAGAAATTGAGAGAGGGAGAATTGCAGAGAGGGAGGATGGTGATGGGGTTTGGCCATTTGGGGAACTAGGGGAAGTCAAAAAATATTGAAATGATTTTAGTATTGGGGCTTTGGCCTTCGGGTAAACTAAAAATTCAGATCCGGGTACCCGCAGGTCAGATATAGCAGGACCGGTACCCGAACGTGGGACTATTCGGGTATCCTTTATTGGACCCAGACCCTACCCGCGGGTCCAAAACTTGGACCCATACCCAGACCCATATCTGGTATACCTGGCGGGAATGGGTCGGGTCTGGGTCCATTGCCACCTCTAGCCTAGATTGGTTAAGGCGTTGTGCAATTACAACACTACATTCCAACTTAGCTAACTATCAATGAATTGAAATACTTTTACAGAAGAAAAAGTTTATATAAGGTTGCAACCTTAAAATGTAGAATTACATATGCACCTCAAAAATCTATCAGGAAGGTTTGTTTTAATGTTGAAAAACCCTCTAACTGATCATCTCGACATTGAGATGTATGAATATGAAAAAAAAAAAGTTTTTGAGTCCTAGAAATAGTGTATCTTGCAACACATTATCTAGACCGTCCATTTTCAAGATTTTCATATTTTTATATATCTACTTGATTTTAACCATTTTTGGAGTTTAAAATTTTTTGAATTAGATATGAAAATAGATTTTGACATAATCCTAAAAATATTTTAAAACAAAATTATATGTTATGGTAAAATTAGAAGGTGCACCTTAATTTGATTGTTTAAGGTTGCAACCTTATAGAAACCACACCCCTTAAAGAAATATACTCATTATTTTGATTTACTCATTATGCTGATAATTTATTATTTTAATAAAATTAATCCTGACAATGAATTATTTATTGTTCAACAATATCCATCATAAAGTTATTTAAGTTAACCTTACTCTCTTTAGAGGGGAGGCTTACTTTGATTAAGTCTCTTCTTTATCTAACTTTCCAATTTATTATATATCTTTGCACCAACTGCCAAGTGGTGTCATGAAGAAAATTGAAAGACTCATGAAAACGTTTTTATGGGGGAAATCTGATGAGAAGAAGAAGTTTTATTTGGTGGGATGAGATAGAGTATGCACTCCAATAAGTGATGGGGGTAATGGGGGTTAAAAGGATATAAATGATGAGCAACGCTTTACTTACAAAGTGATGGTGGAGATATGTTATGGATAAAAATCAGTCATGGAAATTTATTACGGGAAAAAATGAGATAGATAATGAACATGGTATTGTTGTTAAAGGATTAAATAAGAAAAGATGTTCATTGATATGGAAGGGTATTGCTTCACATAGGAATTTTTTTCCTAGAGAACATGCGAGCTATGGTTGGGGATAGTAATGAGGTTAGATTTTGGCAGTAGAAATGGATAGGGGATAGACCATTGAAGGTTCAATTCCCACATTTTTGAAAAGGTGACATTAAAAAGTAAGATGGACAAAGAAATGGTCAGGGGTAGACGTTTTTACACTGTATGGGATATAAGATTTGCATATCAAAGAGTTGATGAGATTGTTGTTGAAGCGTATATTCATTGTATAGAGATGTTACATCAACATTATTATTATCTAGACAATGCAGATAGG